CACCTTTTTGTTCTTGCTGGGCCATTTATTTCAGGCCCACTGTGCTGGACCTGGCTTCTGGGCTCCAGCTTACACCCTACTCCCAGGCTCTGGCCTTGCTCCCAGGCCTCTGGCTGTGTCTTGAGCCTGGCCTTTGGCAGGACTCAAGGTGGTAATATGCCTCTTAGGCACTAATGGGACTAATGGGACCTCCAAACCATCCCTCAGTCCCTTCCCCAAACCACCAGTTGAACTCAAAGGGAAAAAGCACTCAGGCTGTAATGTAAATTTAACCTGCTCTAGACATAGCAAATGGGCACAACAGCCCACAGTCTTGCATCAAGGCCTCCCTTAACCAGGCTTGTGTTCCTTCATAAGAGACAAGTATTTTACTGACAGGCCTTAGAACAGCTCTGAAGTCGGCTCAGCATCCCCCTGTATTCTTCCTGGCAGGGAGCTCCTCATCCCCTGGTTTGCAGGGCTAGACTCCTTGGCTTAGTTTATATGCCACTCAAGCCCTGCCCACCATTGGCAGTGGGCTGGAGCTGGCAAGCTCCTACAGGCACCGCCATTGGTGTCAGGGCCAGAGCTGGCAAGCTCCTGCAGGAGCCGCTGTTAGTGTTGGGGCTGGAGCTGGCGAGTTCCTGCAGGCGCCACCGCTGGCATTGGCAGTGGACCTGTCTGGGGACAGGGCACATGCCCCCCTGTGCCCTCCCTACATGTTGCCTATGAGCTGACCTGCTTGCAGGGCTGTTTATTAACCTCAGACTTGTGGCTCCCTTTGTCTGGATCACAAAACCACTTTCCTTAAAGGGGCCATTCTGCTTTTCCGTAACAAGGTAAGGGTTCCCTGTTATACCTTCCTATTTCATCTGGAGAGATCAGAGAAGGCTGTATCTCAGAGTAAATCATGCAGCATGGTCTAAGACAGTGGCACTCAACCTTTTCCTCTGGTGGGATGAATGGGCAGTGGACTGTCCATCTGTGGCCCAGATCTGGCCAGTGGTTCTGATCCAGCACACAAGGTAGGTGCAGTGGGAACCATCTGGCAATGTGGAAGGGGGTAGGGGTGGCCTGGCCACAACCCAGCCCCACAAGGGAAGGGGGTTTGACCCAGCCCCACAGTGGGGAGGAAGAGGGTGTGGTTTGACCCTAACCCAGGCACATGTGGGGAAGAAAAAGTGGTCTAGCCCTGTGAAGGGGGGAAAGAAGCATAGCCTGATCCCATGAGGGGGAAGGGCTTGTGGCTTGGCCCTAAGCCAACCCTCTGGGCAGAAGGAGCTTGGCCTGGTTCCGATCCAGACATGGCAGGTTGTGGCATGCCCCAACCCCACAGGGCAGGGAGGCACAGCCCATCTGCAACTGGCTGTGTGGGACTTGGGGTTTGGGAATTTGGCAGTGGGGAATGTGGCTGTATTAATGGCAACTGGTTCCGCACTGCCAAATTTCCTGACCTATGGGGGAGCTCCATGAACCAGACAGCATGGCTCTGTGGGTTGCAGTTGTCCCATGGGCCAGAGGTTGAGCACCCTGGTCTAGAGTTTCAGTCTTGTTCATTTGAATTGATTTTGTTATAACCCATTTCTGAAATAAGCACTTTTGCAGTGGATGAATAGATTGAAACCTAATCATTTTAATTTTTGTGCAGCTGGGCTATGACAATACTCTATAAGCAAGTACAGCTGTGCCTCTCAGTTGAATGGCTTTATACAATCTCCTAGTTAGTGATTAGGCTTTATACAATAGCTTCTCCTGGAGAAACATACAATGTTTATGAACATCTATGTTAAATCACCAAACTCCTCTGGGGAGGGCAACTCCATTTGGCCATCTATTTCGATCATTACAGAGGTTGCCAGTAATGCAGAAATAATTACATGATAAAATATAATTATTTCCTCCACGCCACTATAGTGCACCACTTACCAGTTCTGGATAAGCTGTGGATCTCCTGATTGTAAATTATTTTGGATAGCTTAAACAATAGGCCAAAGTAGAGTGGTTCCATAAAGCATAGTGATGATACTCCGTCTGCACTAGTTTTCCATTCAAAGGAAGAAGTTGCAATACAGAGAGGTCTTCTGGGAGGCAAGGGGGATGATTTGCATGACCTCAGTGTGGGCTGACCTTGGATGGATGCAGACTTGGAAAGATTCAACTGGTAACAGAGATTAGAGTAGATTTCCTGTGGAGGAACCAATTGGCCTTGGGATGTGGATCTGTAACAGGAGAACACAGAGCTCCAGAACATTGCAGAAGTAAATTTAGTTGGGCTTCTGGCCTACTTGACTAGAAAAACAGACAGAGACCAGAAGTCCTGATACTGCTTATTTCAGTTACATGTTTTGAGATAAGAAATCCTGCATGTCTTATTACCCTGTGCACAGATGTCCAATTAAGTAAACTTGTTTTAGTTTCTCCAAAGTCATATGGTTTTTTCTCTCTTTATCTGTCTTAAGTATAAAAATGCTTGAAAACTTAGAGAGGAGAAGGGTTCCTTTGAAACAGACAAGTGGGTGATTCCCCATGCTGTATGAAATCCTCCCTGTGATCACAGTATAGCCATAAATAAAGAAAAGCTGGCTCTGTCAGTTCTGATTCAACCACAAAGAAAATTTGATTTCTTCCACAACATGCATTTAGATCAGCCTCTGGTACGTAGTGACTAGGATATAATTTTCTTATAGAAAGTCTCTCCTTTCCCATATATGTAACAGGGCACATGCTCTTAATACTATTTCATGTTCTGAGTCCTTCAACGTATGGGTGACTGACTGGGTAAAAACCAAGATGAGATATGGATTCAGAGAGAGATATGAAGAATCCTCCCCACCTCTTTTTGGACTTACAGCGTATGTCTACACAAGACACTTTACTGCACATTAGACTAATCTGTCCTATGGGGTGTATTAGTATATTAGTCTGCAGTAGATTAGTGTAATGCACCATATTCTAGTACTTTTAGATTCAGTATCGACCTCTATCTACAGGTACTAGAAAACGGTGCATTAACTGATGTCCCATACTGCATGTATAGATGCTGAATGGGAGCAATTGCTCCCAGGACAGCTACCCCCACACCCTCATGCCCAGTCTGATCTGCCCCTGGCTGGGATGGTGCAGCGTGCTGAGCTCACCAAGCCAGAACTGCTCCCTCTTCCCCTCCCCCCCCGCCATCCAGAGCTTGGGGATATGGCTTCCTGCCAGACTTGGGGCTGGCACGCGGGGGAGCCTGGAGCTCCCCCTGGATGCTGCAGGGGGCAGAGTAGGGCAATTTGCTTTCAATGGGGTCGCACATGCAGAATTTTCTGCACAGAAAATTCAGGTGCATGAATTGCACCTGTAGACATGCCCATAAGGTACTCAAGGTCTAGCCTTAAATTTCACTGGATTAAAAAGCTCTGCTGAAGAGTGTGATCTTTAACTCCCTAATGCATTTGATGCCCAGACAGTCACAGGTGAAGCTTTTGAATTACTTTGGAATGTGATTCAGGAACAGTGGGCTCTGGAGGAAGTATCTTTCTTAGAAACTGCAGTGTTTACTTATATTCATTGTTCACTCATGGGATGACTGCAATTTGTATTGCCTTGCAGTAAAACCTAACCTTTTCCTCCTGTTTGTTTTCCCCCCCAAGTAGCAGGGATCTCCTGGTTTCCTGTTGTGCTTGGCAAGGTGAAAGTATCTGGCCATCTTACATAAAAGTTGTGTTGGATGTGGCAAATGTACTTGCAGGATGGATTTACCTGGGTGTTGAAGAGGTAAATATACAAATGGTACAGATTAGCTTGTCTTCTCAGTCTGAATCGCCTCTCCTTGATAATAATTTCTGTTACTTGCTGAAAGCTGTTTTTGCTGTGCTAAAATGGCTGAGAAATTGTGGATTGTAAGCATCAAGAGTTTTTCTGGAAAATTTGTACCAAGTGCTTGTGGGTCAATCCTGCAGATGGTGGCACTGTCTGATTTCAAGGCTTGTCAGCACTGACTAGAGAAACCTTGTTCAAACAGTGTACAATTATAGAAGGAGTGTACATAATAATTAGAGATCAGACAGCTTTTGTTAGAAATAGAAATTGATTAAAAGAAATATCAGTCTCTTGAAGCTGCAGTGTTAAACACTAGTGCAAAGAAATGCTGGCTATGCTGAAACCTTTTATCAGCATTTCTGAACATATCTTAAAATAGTTAACAGTATTTGGGGTTTTTTTGTTTTATGTTCTGCAGATCCTGTGAAAACTATGATTCAGATAGTTGTAAAAAGACACTATCAAGTAGGTAAACTTAAAATTCTGACCTGCAATCAAAAATATATTTTTTTAAAAAGGCCTTACAAAACCCCTTAAATGTTTGATGATATTCCCTCCCTGACTCCTTCCAAAAATGAAAATGAAAGCCTATGATGAGTATGTGTGCGTGTAGCTTTCTCCACTCTTGGAAATCAAAGGAAAATAGCACCATGCTAGTTCATTGCAACTAGAAGGAAAATTGTCCAAGCTAAATAAAGCATAAACAGTGAAGGAGAAGAACAAAAGTAGGAAGCAAATTAGTTTTTTAAATCCTTTCAATATTTTCTTATGAGCAGTGTCCTTTCAGGAGGAAATTGCAACCACATGGGAGCAGAATTGGGCCATTTAAATTAGAGATTTGTCATAACTTCTATGGGATTAGAATTAAACCCAAAATATAATACATTAAATCTATCAATGTACTTATATGGTTCTCATCATTGTAATATATGCATATGGTGACCTTGATACAGAACTTGCCTATTATTGTTCATTAACTTTGAGGACATTTGGCCTGACCACCGGTCACATCCATGCCAATCATCTTAATCAGAGAATATAAATGAAATGAAACAAAGGGAAGTGACTTTCTCATGGGAGTCAGCATTGTTAAAACAGCTGTAAATGTTTTCAGCACATCTGTTTATGGTTCAGTCTCTGTTCCAGTCTTCACGAACATGTCACTAAAATTCCTAATAAGGGAAGCCTTAGTTGGAGGAAGGAGTAAATAGCAATTGTCATGGTTTGTACCACTTTATGTAAAAATTCACAGTCATTAGCTTCATGATTCACACATAATTGGAAAAGATGAAAACAACTGCCAAACATGGCTTAAAATATACTAGAAGATGTCCACAGAGATTCCCTAAGTTACAATTATGTGTTATTGAGCTGAAAAATGCAAGAGAAAGGGGAACTCGCATATAAATGCATCTTGATTTACCTGGTTCTGATTTCAGTAACAAAGCAAAAGTCACTAAGAGTGCAGTATCCCCACCAAATGGTGCCAGAAGAACCAAACACATTTTATTAACACCCAGCATTTTTGCTCCCAGGCTAGATATTTGGCCTCCAGCAGTCAGTGATCTTTTGTGCTATGTCCACAATGATGTTTATGAGAGACTTGGAACAATGTATGAGTGTCGCCTTGCAGATCAGACCCTTTGGTCGCTTGTGCACTCAGAGGACAATTAACTCTGCTGCCATTTCCAAGCTTTCAAAAAAGAACAGGGGGCAGATTGGCTATATGAGTCAATCCACAGAGCTGGCTGAAAGGGTATTAGGGCCTCCAGTGGCATACATTGTTTCAGTGTTGGGGTAGATGGGAGGAGAAAGCGTGTATGCATCAAAATGGGAAAATGGACAAGCTGGAATTCTGATTGTATATCGGGGTAGGCAACCCCCTGGCACCGGTGCCAGTGCATGAGAAGGCATTTTGCTTAGCATGCATGCCTCAGGGTGGACAGTGGGGAAAGGCTGGGGCTGCATTGCCACAATAAGGGTTGGGCCCTCATGGCTCCCCAGCTGTCTGCCCCTGGCATGCTAACATCTTCAAGTTGAGGTTGTGGGTGTTTTTGGCACTTTGCCCAAAAACATTGCCCACCCCTGTTGTATATCAATCAGCAAAAATGTTCGAGGTAGGGGAAATTACTTTAATGTTTGACGTTGTTTTCAATTTCTAAAGTGCTAATGTTCAGCGAAGTGCACAACAAGTAAGACTTCTACAGGCAAAAACAGAGGGAGCTGGTACTCTGGATAAATACAAATAACCACACAACAAAGTTGTCCACTTTCTTTGTGACACTCAAATATATCCAAACACATTGCTAATACACACACACTCTATATTTACACATGCTGTCTATATACATACATGTTTGACTGCTCTGCAACATTTTAATCCTCAGCCTTTATGGGGTCTCTCCCCTGTTTTATGCATATATTTCTACAGCATCTCTGGCCATGAGCTTAAAACACAAACAACCCCTACAGTGACTGCACTTTGCTTGACACTGGGCTGCCTGTTACTGCTTTTCTCCCTGAACTTGCTAGTCTGGAAGCACTGCCTTCACCATGCCTAGATTGAGTGTAGGTTCATTTCTGAAACCGGACCAAATGCTAAACAAGTTAATGAATGAAGACAAGTGCAGAGTCCGTGCTCTTCTGTATCCAGACAAGTTTAGAATTTGCTCATCCCAACAGTCACGTTTGTTCTGCGGTCAGCTTTGCCTTTCAGTGTGTCACAAATGGTCTCACAGCCCCCATTGCTGGAGGCCTGGCTGCCAGCAGCGATGTGTCCGTTATGCTCTGTCAGGAGCTTGAAGGTGAAGAGATGACATGAGTCCTTTTGCCTGCTGCCTTCCTCGAGGGGGTTCAGGAAAGCGCTGGAGCTCTTCCACTCCTGGAATGTGCACATTTCCGTGTGTGGGCAGGTGACTTTGCTCAGGTAGCCTGGGCTTGGCGTGGCTGAGGATAACGTCCTCTGACTTCCACTTAGGAAGCTCCCACCATCTTCCAGTGAGTCCTTGCGAGAGTGTTCAAAGGAGCCTCGGTTCCAGGTCCTGTAGTTGTAGGTCCACCAGCCTAGCCGCTTCCGCTGGTGACACTGGCACTTCAGGATTCGTATGAAAGCCCTCTTGAACTCCTTGCTTGAGCAGGGGTAAATAATTGGATTCAAGCAGCTGTTGAAGTAGCCAAGCCAAAATATTACCTTGAAGAGCGTTTCAGGAGGCTTGAGTACAGAAAACATAGACCCTGGGAGGAGAAAAAAGAAGAGACAATATCTGAGATAACTGTTCCTGCCTGGTTTTAATAAAACAGAGGAAAATTAATTAATGACATTCTTGGAGGTTCCCTCCAGGATATCTTTGCTAAAGATACATATTACTTGCTGCTACAGTTACATCCTCCAGCAAATCAAGGGAGTCTAAAGTGGGTATTCTTGATGTTTCTAAGGGGGCAGGAGGGCTCTATAATTAACTTTTTTAGGGAATAAAAGACTAGGGGTTTTTTTTATCCATCATAAGGAAACAAGAGAACAAACTCAATTTTGTTATTAAAATTTTAGTGTAGTGCTGATGGCCTCCAATCAGAGTTCAACTGAACTAAGAGCTGTATATGTATATAACAAAGAGATTATCCCTATTGGGAAGTGCTTTGGTAGGTCATTTTTAGTTGGGAAAGACTTTTCTATACTAAAAAGTTGCTCTTGCACCTCTCATGAGAGAGGATGATATTCGTGTTCAGTCAGAATTTGGCATTTTCACATACTTTCTCTGGCAGCCTCTAAGATGGAGATCCTATTCTGCCCAGAAAATGTCCATTTTGTATAGGTTATTAGGGTCACCATTAGTAAGACACACAAAATCTGCTTAAGCCTGAAATCAACTACCGACCATACAGACCAGTGGCTCTCAACAGTTCATGAAAACTTTTCTCCCCATTTATAATCACATAATTTCCCTGCAACAACTACAGCAGCTGCTTACACGGGGAATTAATAGTAGAAAAAAACGTAATGTCCTTTTAGCTGTAAAAAATGAAATGTAGCAGCTTAATTTAGCAACACTGAGCATTCTGAAAGAATGTCTAAAGTCTCTAGTTACAGTAACATGGACCTTACGTGCAATTACCCAACTGACATTTCTAGCTGGGGCAACCTAAGAAGGGAGCTTTAGTGTGGGAGCTTCATTTCAGGAACTAGAATTAAATTGTAGGATATTTAAAAAAAATGGAAGAAAGTATATTAACTTGAGTGTTAAGTCTCTGAGAACAGTGGCCATGCATGCTGGAGTGGTTTCAGCAATGAAAGTTGCTGAGTCAATAAAAGTTATCAGAATGCCTTATTGGGGCAAAAGTTGATTCTAGCCTAGGCATATTTCCCATCTATCACAGCAATGTAGAGACTGTGGCTTGGGCCACACAATCACACAAAACCTTGGTCAGTGGACTCAGATCCATGTTATAAAGTTAGGAAAAGAGCTCTAACAGGTTGATAAACATAACTGTTGCTTTTCCAGAACAGCACTGAAGCTAACTACAAAGGACAAAGGGAGGTAAGCATATGCAACACCTCATGCTTCATCCTGTCCTCCTCAGTGTACCAGATAGCATGGTACGATGTGCTATTATTGGCCAAGTGAAAGGTACTTCCTTGCTGTCCTTGGAGCAATGGGAAGCCAGAAAAGAAAGCACATCTCTGGCATCATACAGCATCTTTACATGTGCTCCAGGGGTGAAGGAGGGCACTTTAATTAGAGTGGCTATCAGGAGCTCACAGCATCTTGTGTATTCAGCATCCCCACTCTTTGAAATGATGGCAGGGGCACTTTAACTACAGCTCGTTTGATGAACTGTAGCTAAAGCACCCCCGTGCTCATTTTGAAGTGCAGGGATGCCGAATACACGAGATGCTGAGGCTGCTAGAGCATGCTAATTAGCACACTCCTATTAATCAAGTCTGCTTTGATGCACTGTAATTACAGCATGTTGGAGCAGGCGTCCTGCATGTCTGCAGGCAGCCATAGTTCCTTTCCAAGACTGCTAACTGGAAGATGCAGTAACACGCTATATACTTCTGTTGCCTAGAAGTAAAGTGACAATCTAGCCTTGTGAATGTAAGCAAAGTTTAAAATGTACACAGCATTTTCGTACCTTTTGCCCTGAGCTGAATTTCAACCAGTGGGCAGTACTAGGCATCGTATAGGCTTTACAAAACAGGGAGCATCTGCACAAGATGCTGACTGGACAGTAGCCGAATATTACTGCAGAGAACTGTAGTGCATCACAGCACTAACAGAACTAATATGCTACTGCAAAGTAGTATTAGACTACTGCGCAGTAGCATCACTTAAAAGATATTCGCTGGTGCTACTGCACAGCAACTCTGGTTACTGAGCATTTATTTAGTGCTTGCTTATACAAATACTAAATAAATGTGCAGTAACCACTGCACCATAGCGTCTTGTGTAGGTGCGCCGATAGTCTATAACAACTTTGCTTCCCCTAGTCATCTGCAGGTGTCCACAGATTCATTCCACCTGATAAAGCTCCTGAGTCTTGGCCTGTTTTAGTACTGCAGAAAGAGAGGAGTGCAACAGAGTCTAATACTGGGAAAGCTGTGAAATATGTCTGACAGTTTTCCAGCAGACACACCAAAGTACTGCAAACACTTAAACTCTGCCTGCTTAGAGTTAAGTACTTTTTAATGAAAGATTCAACAAACATTCCTGTGCTTCTAGGGAATAAACTATTAAAAAGGTGTCAACTTCTTGTAAATTTTAGTGGAAGTTGATCCAAACTTATAATATGAGCCAGTATGAGCAATATGCTCCAAGTCCTCCCACATGCCCACTTGCAAACTCTTTAAGGATTAATTTTTAAAGTAATAATTAGAAATATTTTCCTTTGGATTTGGAGAAAAATGCCTTGTGATTTGACTGAGCAAGTGCAAATACAAAAGCTGATTAAATGGAAGAATCATATTGGAGCTCATACTCATAAATCCCTTTTGTTTTCTACAATTATTTCATAATACAGATGAACCTACAATAATTTGTAATACCAATGAAAGGGGTGAAGAGTACGTACTATATTTTTCTTGTAGGTTCTGTATAAATATTGGCTATTCTTTTCCAGTTCTGCCAAGAGATTGGCTATTTGTCATGTTGTAAAAATTCAGAGTCTAGAGTATATTTCTCCATCAGATTGTAATGCTTTTGGGCACAGCACAATTTGGACATAATCCATTTGACAGCATCCTTTTCAGTAATAATAATAAAAAAGAATTAAGAATGGAAGTCTGTTGAAAGATTGTTCTGGACCTGCCTATTGATGAATAAAGCAAGGTAAATTCCACAGAAGAAATGAATAGCTAACGTACAAGGGAAAGATAAATGGGATGTGTTTTTGTATGTTGCCTTGCGTACGAATGCATGCTGCTGCACCAAGGTCAAATACACTTGACAAGTAGAAACCTGAAAAAATGAGTAATCTTTGTAAGCAGCCCCCAGAAATGTACATTGTATATAATTAAGAAAGGAAGGTAATAGGTTTATGTCTGTCTCTTTCTTTTAGAATGATGTAATTTTCAAATGTTTACAGCTGAAAATTTCCAGCACTCCATTTCTCTTATGTAAAAGGGCAACTTTGCAAAAGAGCATGGCATTACTTCACAACATCCCAGACTCAGCGAGCTACCGTATGTTCAGTCCTGATTCTTGAATGTCACCAAGTCTTGATCAATTAGTTAAAAAACCTCCAAAACAACTACCAGCCTACCCACAAGTGAATGCTTGATAGTGAAGATCCTCAAACATCCATTTGGAAAGCTGGGGTTTGGACTTAAAAATAATTTATGCAGCTGGCTTTCTGAGGATGAAGTGGCGGTTCATTCAACAAGGGAACCTCCTTTGAGTTACTGAATTATGGAACTTTGTGCTTGTTTTTATTAGAGATTATGAATTATTCTCTCAACAACTCAAGCCTCATATATATGAATTTTAAATGCTACTGAATTTCACTTTGTGTATGCTGCAGTATTACCTCCTAGTTTTAAGAACATATTAGATGTTGGGATAATCAGCAAAGGGAGAAGTTATTACACTGAAGGAGAATTAATGAAGAAGCATAATCGCTTTGCTCTCTTTCCTCTGTTGGTCATCTCAAAGTGTATCATCATCCACTTTTTCCCAGTGGAGAATCACAGAGAGGTCAAGTGACTTGTTCAAGGATGTACAGCAGGCCAGCAACAGAATCAGGAACAGAACACTAGTTATGTTTCCTAGGGGTTCTCGCCATGCGCAGGTAAAGGTGCAGTGGGACTTAATGCGTGATCTGCACAATTCTGCCTCCTGCCATGCCATACATGCATGGCAGGGGGTATGATTGTAAGATTGTGCACCAGACCTCACCTTGCCTTATTGCTGGTGCAGGGGGAGCCTGATCCCAGGCTCCCCCTCCATCAGCAAGAAGCAAGCACCTGTGTCTAGGAACTCTCTTAGCTGAGGAGCTCCCAGCCATGCTGGCATCCCATGAATCCCTGTGGCTGGGAGCTCCCAGGAGCACCTTCGTGGCTGGGAGATCGCTTCAGCTGTGCTCTCCCAGCCTTGGAGGTTTGTGGACACCCCTAGGACTGGGAGATCACAGATCACAGCTACTGCGATCTCCCAGTTGCAGAGGCGTACCATGCATCCCTGTAGCTAGGAAATCGCAGCTGCCAGGACCAAGAGTCCCACAACTGCAGATGATGGGTCCTGGCAGCAGCAGGGTGTTGCCATGGATCCCAGCACTGTGGGGTGCTGCCAGGAGCAGCATCTGCAGCTGTGTAACACTGAGTCCTGGCACACGAGATGCTGCTGAGACACAGAGTCTGCAGCTACCAGGTGCTGAGAGTCCCCTCAGCTGACAGTGCTCCCAGCTACAGGGGAGAGACTCTGCTATACATTTAAATTAAGCTGGATAGCAACCAGCTATAAAGTTAGTACACATTTTTGAGGTTGAACTTTATAGTTCCTTGGACCTTTTTATTATGTGATAGGTACTTTGCGCATGTAGCTGCATTGGGGATGCATAGGGGGTGCATGCAGGGGTACATGCACCCCCTATGAAAAGCGTTGGCGTTTTCAGATTCTTGGCAGTGCACCCCCTATGAAAAGCATTGTCGATGCTGCCAGGGGCAACTGCAGACGGTCGTCACTCGCAACCCCCCCCGCCCTTGCCGCTGACACCACTGGCAGCATCTGTGGGCAGTCCCC